GTAGTAGTAGTAGTCGCAGTAGTGGTAGTATAGTCCTCGTAGTAGTTAGTAGTAGTAGTAGTAGTAGTAGTTAGTAGTAGTAGTAGTAGTAGTAGTAGTAGTAGTAGTAGTAGTAGTCGTATCGTAGTAGTCCAGTAGTTAGTAGTAGTAGTAGTAGTTCAGTAGTAGTAGTAGTAGTAGTAGTAGTAGTAGTAGTAGTAGTAGTAGTAGTAGTAGTAGTAGTAGTAGTAGTAGTAGTGGTAGTAGTAGTAGTAGGTAGTGGTAGTGGTAGTAGTAGTAGTAGTAGTAGTAGTAGTAGTAGTAGTAGTAGTAGTAGTAGTAGTAGTAGTAGTAGTAGTAGTAGTAGTAGTAGTAGTACTAGTAGTAATGGTATTAGAAGTAGTAGTAGTAGTAGTAGTAGTAGTAGTAGTAGTAGTAGTAGTAGTAGTAGTAGTAGTAGTAGTAGTAGTAGTAGTAGTCGTAGTAGTAGTAGTAGTAGTAGTAGTAGTAGTAGTAGTAGTAGTAGTAGTCGTAGTAGTAGCAGTTGTCGTACTAGTAGTAGTGGTGGTAGTAGTAGTAGTAGTCGTCGTCGTAGTCGTAGTAGCAGTCGTAGTAGCAGTAGTCGTAGTAGTAGTAGTAGTAGTCGTCGTCGTCGTCGTCGTCGTAGTAGTAGTAGTAGTAGTAATAGTAGTAGTAGTAGTAGTAGTAGTAGTAGTAGTAGTTGTCGTATCATTGTTATTATTATTAGTAGTAGTGGTAGTGGTAGTGGTAGTGGTAGTGGTAGTGGTAGTGGTAGTGGTAGTGGTAGGTAGTGGTAGTGGTAGTGGTAGTGGTAGTGGTAGTGGTAGTGGTAGTGGTAGTGGTAGTGGTAGTGGTAGTGGTAGTGGTAGTGTAGTAGTAGTAGTAGTAGTCGTAGTAGTAGTAGTAGTAGTAGTAGTAGTAGTAGTAGTAGTAGTAGTAGTAGTAGTAGTCGTATCATTATTTTTTTTAGTGGTAGTGGTAGTGGTAGTGGTAGTGGTAGTGGTAGTGGTAGTGGTAGTGGTAGTGGTAGTGGTAGTGGTAGTAGTAGTAGTAGTAGTAGTAGTAGTAGTAGGAGTAGGAGTAGGAGTAGGAGTAGGAGTAGGAGTAGGAGTAGGAGTAGTAGTAGTAGTAGTAGTAGTAGTAGTAGTAGTCGTCGAAGTCGTAGTAGTCGTAATCGTAGTCGTAGTTGTCGTAGTAGAGGAAATAGAAGGAGGAAAGAGAGGATGAGGAGACAGGCGAAGGGAAGGAGTCGGCGGTGGTGGGCAGGAAGGAGGCCTCTCTCTTGCTCTTCGCCCCTCGAACCTCGACCCCCTCTCCCTACTGCCCGCGCGGGCGAGCAGCGCCCGGAGGCGAGGCTGGCGGAGCTGGAACCGCACGAGGAGCTGGAGCCGCAGGCCCCGCCCGCCCCGGCGGGGGACGAGGAGCTGGAGCTGCAGGGCACGGCGCCCCGCGCGGCGCGGCCGCGCGGGTCCATGGTCGGCGGCGAGGATCGGGAGCCGAAAGCCAGGACGACATCGGGGTCGTCGTGGCCGGCTTGGGGCCGTCTGGCACCGACCGGGGCTCAAGAGACGGGGGTCAATGCAAGCGGGGGTCGGTCAGAGCTCCGGATCTTGCAGGATGCTGCAGGGGCAGGGCTGCATCGACCCGGCTTGGCGTGCAGGATCCTGCACGGCCTGACTGACCCGGGTGTGCATTTGCCTGGGTCAGTCGATCTGCGAGCCGAGCCAGGCCGTCTGGGTGCTCTGACGATGACTGGAACTCCTCCCGACCTAGGCCCCTTCTGAGCCCTTTTTTGGGCTCCATGTTTTGGCGCTCTCACAGTCCTTCTGAGCCGTCTTGCTGTCTAAACTTTCGGAGGTCCGCGCGTATCTCTTGGGTCGGCAGTGGGCCTTTGTCTCGCCATCCCGCCCCGCGCCGCCGGCAGGGGGTCCCAGCGCCGACCCGAGGAATCCGCAATGACCCCGGGAGGGAGGCGTGTTTAGGCTGGTTTTTCCCAACCCTCATGCGCTGGGTTCTCGTTCTGACTAGAGCACTGAGGTCGCAACTCCTTCCTGCCCGCCTCCCTTCTACACTCCACTCCTACCTGCCTGCTAGCCTGCCTCCTACCTCGCCGCCCTACCCAGGAGCTCGCGGGAGGCTGCGAACTGCGAAACTGTCGCCACGTTCGAGCGCTGCTGGGGGGGGTGCCAGCCGAGTGACGTCATACGCAGATTCATATTAGACTTCGCAGCTGCGAAACTGTCGCCTCTTTCGAGGGCTGCTGGGGTGGCCAGCAGACAGACGTCATATGCAGATTCAGATTCGACCTCGCCATCCCTCTGGGGCCGCGAACTTAGAAACCGTCGGCACTTTCGAGGGTTGCTGGGGGCGGCCAGCGGACTGACGTCCTACGCAGATTCAGATTCGACTTCGCCATCCCTGAGAGGCTGCGATCGTAGAAACCGTCGCCACTTTCGAGGGCTGCTGGGGTGGCCAGCGGACTGACGTCATACGCAGATTCAGATTAGACCTCGCCATCCCTTGGGGGGCTGCGAACTGCGATATTGAAGCCACTTTCGAGGGCTGCGGGGGGGCAGCCAGCAGGGTGACCGCATGCGCAGATAAAGATTAGACCTCGCCATCCCTTGAGGGCTGCGATTTGCGAAACTGTCGCCACTTTCGAGGACTGTTGGGGGGGCCAGCGGGGTGACGACTTAGTGTCGCCGTCCTTGGGGCGTTGCGAACTGCGAAATTGTCGCCACTTTCGACGGCTGCTCAGGGGTGCCAGCTTAGCGCGGTGCTGTGCGATCAGAGCTGGAGCTCGCCATCTCTGTGTGGTTGCGAACTGCGAATATGTCGCCACTTTCGCTGGCTCCACAGATCTGAACCCGCTTATTGTGGTGCTACGCAGATCAGAGCGGGACCTCGCCATCCTTGGGGGGCCTCACTCCTCGTCCTTCTGTGGCTGTCCTCCGAGTCGTCCACCACGCGCGCATAGCATGTAGACTGCGCAGCAAGTGACGGCCCCCGCGCTATCAGCACCCAGAGTATTTTGGACCAGTTCCTTTTGCCTCTTAACGCAAATGAGTTGGGCAGTCGCAGGGGGGCCTCTTGCTTCTGGAGGAGCCGAGGGCGAAGATAGCGCAGCTGGACCTGCCCGGCATGGCGGTGCGGAGCGGCCGGAGCTCGGCGGTGAGCGCCGGCACGAGAGGCAGCGACGCGCGGTGGCCGGAGCAGCAGCCGACGCCCGCCTTCGGGTTCGAGAAGCACTTTGCGATGGAGCTCCGGTGCGAGAAACATGCCGATGCCGATGCCCCTCGCTCGTTTTCACCTTGTTGGGCCTCCTTGCGTGGGGCCCTCGTCACCACGGCCGGATCCGCACTGGAATCCTAGGCAGAACGCGCTCTGGCCTGGGGAGTAGTGGTATCAGTATCGTATACGCCTACGGCCTGGCCCGTCTTGGGGCTCTCCCGGGGGTTTTTGGTGCTATCTTGATGCTTATTTTGGAGGCTTCTGAGGCTGCCTTGGGCCGTCGGGAGCCTCAAAGGGCGAGAACCCGAAACTATTGAAACACTAGGGGTATTTATGATTTTGGCCTCCCGGAGGTTCTTTTGGAGCCCTCTTGGTCCGTCTGGAGGTCATCTTGGGCTGTCCTGGAGTCGACTCGGGCCGTCTTTGGGCCGTCTAGGATCGTTCTGAGCCATTTTGGGCCGTCTTGGAGACATCTTGGCGAACTCGGAAGCCTCTTGGACTCTTCGGCCGTCTTGAAGGCTATCTTGGAGCCGTCTTGGGGCCATGTTGGGGGTGAAATCCCTTGCCCCCATTGAAAATTTTGTTGAAGGGCTCAATTGGTCAACATTTGGCATGCTGCGCACCCCTCGTGCAAGCAACAGGGGGCGGCGCGTCGGAGACGCCTACGTTGAATCATCGCCGCCCCCTTTGGGCCGAAACCTGGCCAAGCTATTGGACAGTGGCCTCTCCCAGCTGTTGTGGACCTTCTTGTGGGAACACTTGAGAGAGGAAGAGAAAGGCAGAAGACAGGGAGGAGAAGGAGGAGGGGGAGGAGGAGGAAGAAGAGGAGGAGGCTTCTCGAGGCCTTTCGTGGCCTCTTAGGGCCTCTTGGGGGTATCCTGGGAGCGTCTTCGGGGCCTCCCAGGGTCTCTTGGGGGGCCTCTTGTGGGCCTCTTGGGGTCATATGTGGGTGCTTCTGAGGGACGACCTTTTGGTCTTCGGAGGCCGTCTTGGTTCGCTCTCCGGGCAGTCATGGGTCCCTTTTTGGGCGCTGGAGGGCCGTCTTGGAGGTCTGAGGGGCCATCGTGGGGCAGTCTCGGGGACCTCTCGGGGGCTTCTTGGGCTACCTTGGGCCATCTTTGGACGATCTCGGGGGCCTACGGGGCTGTCTTGCAGCGTCGGACGGAACCCAAAAAGGCGAGAATGGTAAACTTATTGAACAGCTGAAGGAAAATCAACGAGGCCTTATTTTCAGCCTCTCGCCATCTTGGCCATCTCAGATACCATCCTGGCCGTCTCGGAAGCCATTTTGGTCCATCTTGGGGCCATCTCGGGGCGTCCCACCTCCGGGAAAGCTTTCCGCGTGTTCGGCGGAATCGGCCGAGACCCCACTGGGAACCCGTGGAAAGGGCCAAAACACCCTGAGGTCTAGCACGCCGTGCATCCCCGTGGTCAGCGCAGGGGGCAGCGGATCGAAGACGCCTGCGGCGAATCCCCGCTGCCCCGTGCCTTTTGGAAACGCCCACGCGGCCAAACGTTGGGCCGAAGTCAGGCCAAGCTATCACGGCTATGTGTTCCCCCAGCCGTCGTGGAACCTCTTGGGGGGAGCACTCGGGAGAGGAAGAGCAAGGAGGAGGAGGAGGAGGGTGAGGAGGAGGAGGAGGAGGAGGCGGAGGAGAGGGAGGAGAAGACGGAGGAGGAAGAAGAGGAGGCCTTTTGAGGCCCTCTTGGGTCTCTTGGGGTCCTCCTGGGAGCCTTCGGGGGGGTTCTGGGGAGCATCTGGTGGTCTGTGAGGAGCCTCTTGGGGTCTCCTGGGACCTCTTGGGAACCTCTGGGGGACCTCTTGGTGGCCTCGCGGGGGCCTCCTGGCCCTCGGAGGCCGTCTTGGGCCCCTCCTTGGTCCCTCTTTGGGCGTTCTAGTGCCGTCTTGGAGGTCTCTGGGACCATCTTGGGGGAGAGAAGGTGCTTGTGTGGCCCATTGGTATGGCCCTGTGCGTGTTTCTATGGCCAGGGAGCCTCTGGAGCCCATTGATCATGGAGTACGGCAGGGGTGGGGGTGGGGGTGGCCTGCAGGCAGAGACCCATACCCCCCCCCAAGCCGACAGAATCCGTATGACGAGCCTCTTCTTGGAACCCCTGTAGAGCTGCTTGGGGCCTCTGTCGAGCTTCTTGGGACCTCTAGAGCTTCATGGGGCCTCTGTAGGGCTTCTTGGGGCCTCTGTAGGGCTTCACGGGGCTCCTGCAGAGCTTCACGGGGCCTTTGTAGAGTTTCTCGGGGCCTTTGCAGAGCATCTTGGGGCCTCTGTGGAGCTTCTTGGGGCCTCTGTGAAGCTTCTTGGGGCCTTTGTAGAGCTTCTTGGTGCCTCTGTAGAGCTTTTTGGGGCCTCTGTGGAGCCAACTGGGGCCCCTGTAGGGCTTTTTGGGGCCCCTGTATGACTTGTTGGGGCCTCTGAAGAGCTTCCTGGGGCGTCTGTAGAGCTTCTTGGGTCCTGTGATGAGCTTCTTGGGCCTGTGAAGAGCTTCGCGGAGCCTGTGAAGAGCTTTTGGGACCTGTAACGAGCTTCTTGGGGCCTGTGAAGAGCTTCTTGGGCCCTCCGGCGAGCTTCTTGGGGCCTCCGACGAGCTTCTCGGGGCCTCTGAAGGGCCTCTTGGGCTTTCCGAACAGCATCTTGGAGCCTCTGAAGAGTCTCTTGTGGCTTCCGAAGAGCTTGGGTTTTTTTTCGAGCTTCTTGGGGCCTCCAGAGGGGGAAGGAGGAGGAAGACGAGGATGAGGGGGACACGGTAGAGCCACTTTCGTCGTCATATGTCTGCTCCGTCATTTTTGGTCGTCGTCGTCGTCTCCCGTCGTCCCCCTCCTCCACCTCCTCATACCTCGTCGTCCTCCTGTCCCTTCTCCTGTCCCTGCCCCCCTCTTCCTCCTATTCATCCTCTCATCCCACTCATCCTCCTCTCTCTATCCCCTCTCCTGCTCCTCCTTCTCCTCCCTTCCTCGCGCTCCTCCCGTCTTCCGCCGCCTCACCCCTCGAGGATGATGATGTTGTTGTGGTTATTGTTGATGATGATGATGATGATGATGATGATGATGATGATGATGATGATGATGATGATGATGATGGCGATGATGAGGAGACCGATGATGCCGATGTTGCCGTTGATGATTATGGTGATGATGCTGCTACTGCTGATGATGGTGATGATGATGATCATGCTGATGAGGTGGTGGTGGTGCTGATGATGATGCTGCTGATGATGATGATGATGGTGATGATAGTGAATGTGATGATGATGGTGATGCTGGTGATTACGGCGATGATGGTTATGGCGATTTTAATAGTGATGGTGGTGACGATGCTTCAGATGATGAGGATGATGATGACGGTGGTGATGATGCTGATGTTGATGATGAATGTTTTGATACTGCTGCTGTTGGTGATGATGCTGACGATGAAGAATCGGATTGTGATGTTTATAGTAATTATCATGATGATGCAGATGCTGCAGATGCTGATGATGATGATGACGATGATGACGATGCTGATGCTGATGCTGATGATGATGACAATGATGATGCTGATTGCCGGGTGATGATGATGATGATGATGATGATGATGATGATGATGATGACGATGAGGGTGACGTTGACGATGGCGATCACAGCGCCAGCGGCGATGATGATGCTGATTCTGATGATGGTGATGATGATGATGACCCAAAATGATGAGTAGGATGATGTTGGTGATGATGCTGACGATGATGCTGATGATGATAATGATAATGATGATGTGATGATGATGTGATGATGATGCCGATGAAGATGCTGATGCTGATGCTGATGCTGCTGATGATGGGGCCATGTGGATGATGTAGAAAATGATGGCGATACCGATGACGAAGATGATGATTCTGTTGATGACGTTGATGACGACAACGACGACAATGATGGTGATCATGATCATGATGATGATGCTGATGGTGATGGGTGTTGTCAGTGATGATGATGCTGATGATGATGACGATGGTGACTGTGACGATGGGGATCAAGGCGCTGGCGGCGATTGACGATGATGTTGATGGTGCTGCTGCTGATGATGCTGATGATGATGCTGATAACGTTGATGATGCTGATGCGCGTGGCGATGCCGACGACGAGGATGCTGATTATGATGACGACGTTTATGGGGACAACGACGGCGACGTTGATGATGCTGATTATGATGACGTTGAGGATGAAGATGGTATGGTGATGATGATGGTGATGGTGATGATGAGGATGATGACGATGCTGCTCATTACGACTATGCTGATGATGATGCTGCTGACGCTGATGCTGATTCTACTCATGGTGATGATGATGCTGATGGTGATGATGCTGATTATGCTGATGCTGATGCTGATGATGCTGATGATGATGTTGGTGGTGATGATGCTGATTATGATGACGACGTTGATGAGGACAACGACTGCGACGATGGTGCTGCTGATTCTGATGACGTTGATGGTGACGATGGTATGGCGATAATGATGGTGATGAGGCTGACGACGATGATGATGATGCTGATTCTGATGGTGATGATGCTGATGATGATGATGCCCATGAGGATGGTGATGCTGTTGTTGTTGATGATGCTGATGCTAATGACGAAGATGATGGCCGTGGCGGTGGCGGTGGTGATGATGCTGATGCTGATGCTGATGCTGATGCTGATGCTGATGCTGATGCTGATGCTGATGCTGATGCTGTTGGTGGTGGTGGTGGTGATGATCATGATGATGAGGCTGATGATGATGATGATGATGATGATGATGATGGTGGTGGTGGTGGTGGTGATGATGATGATGATGATGAATGATGATGCTGCTGCTGCTGATGATTCTGATGACGATGAGGAGGTGTAATGAGAGGTGGAGGGGTATGATGCTGAGGGCGAGGGTGCGCTGGAGGACGAGGACGAGGAAGAGGAGCAACATAAAGTAGGAGGCCGCGCTAGATGTAGGAGGAGGAGCACGAGAAGGCAAGAGGTGGAGGAGGCCAGGGAGGAGGCAGGAGG